CCAGGTGTGGTGGTACATGCCTGTAATCCCACTTACTCCAGAGGCTGAGGCACAAGAATCGCTTGAACCTGGGAGGAAGGAGGTTTCAGTGAGCCGAGATTGCACCACTGTACTCCAACCTGGGTGACAGAGTGAGACTCCGTCTTAAAAAATAAATAAATAAAAATAAAAATAAAAATAAGGAGCCTGGATTTGAGGATTAAGAGTAATAAAGCCCTTCTGCCATGGCTGCCACTGGAGAGCAGCAGCCTTGGCTCTGCACTACCCTATAGCCATAGGCCTCAACAAGGACCACAAGGTGACCAAGAGCGTGAGCAAGCCCAGGCACAGCCGCCACAGCAGGCGTCTGACCAAATACACTGAGTTTGTGTGGGACATGATCTGAGAGCTGTGTGGCTTTGCCCCATACGAGCGGGGCACCATGGAGTTACTGAAGGTCTCCACGGACAAACGGACCCTCAAGTTCATCAAGGAAAGGGTGGGGATGCACATCTGTACCAAGAGGAAGCGGAAGGAGCTGAGCAATGTTCTCGCTGCCATGAGGAAAGCCACTGCCAGGAAAGACTGAGCCCCATCCCCTGCCCTCTCCCAGAAATAAAGAACAGCTTGACAATTAAAAAAAAAAAAAAAAGTAATAAAAGTCTGATATCAGAAATGAACTTACAGCAAGAAATACAATCAAGCAGCCCAAATGCCAATGCTCTCTGATCAGCATGCTCTGCCTGTGCAGGCAAAGTTGTGTAGGAGGCCAAGTCATAGTCCTGTGCTTTACCCACGGGGAGGCATCTGTTGGCTTTACCTGCCCAGCTTCCATCCCTTCCCTCTAGTAGTAGCACCTCAATTTACCTCTGGGGAACCTCCCCAGCTTTGCTTTTTATACTTGTGGTTTGGGGGAAAGGTAGCCTGACCAATCAACATGCACACACACATTGCACACGCACACGTGCACACGAGCATTCTTCCACAAATCCACATCCCAGGCCTGCGCTAGTCAACATATTCTGCTCCCCTAGGCCAAGAAATATGGGGATCAAACCTGGCCAGTAGCCAGCCAGGAGTTCAGAATTCACAGAACGGAGAAGGGTTTTTTCCCCTGGCATTGCTAACCTGGGGAACATACACCCAGGACTTCCAGCCTCCTCCATTTGCCACCATGTAGGGAAACTGGAGCCAACACAGAGAGGAACAAACAGAGTCAGGCCAAATCTCTATGACAGTAAGTTCCTGGATCCAGCTATGTCTAAAGCTGAACCTGCCCATGGGCTTTGCAGTTACATGAGCCAACTGACTCTTTTTTAGCTTAAGCCAGCTGGAGTTGGGAGTGTGGACTGGATGATCCTAAAAACTGCCTTTCAGTGGTAACGGCTGGGTCCCCCAACCTTTAGCGATGTAGCATCATCTCAAGACTGATTACAGGAGTACGAGGCCAGGGCACCCTCATCACAGCACAGAGCTGGTTTCCCTGGCATCTAAGCCCATTCTCAGGATCCCATAACTTATCCATGAGGCTTGAGGACCAGGCTGGTTGATGAAGCCTTTGCTCACCAACAGATGTGTTGAAGTCCGCTCTTAGCCCTCTAAAGCCATCGGCCAGGTGCCCTGGCACCAGGTATCACTTAATGACCACATTCTCACAAAAGAGACATGGCAGAAATGACTCTTAGAACTAACTTTGGCATCAGTTCTTTTTTTTTTTTTTTTTTTTTGAGACGGAGTGTCGCTGTCACCCAGCCTAGAGTGCAATAGTGCAATCTTGGCTCACTGCAACCTCCACCTCCCGGGTTCAAGCGATTCTCCTGCCTCAGCCTCCCAAGTAGCTGAGATTAC